GGCACATATATATGCAAAGGTGACGGCAATAAATGACCAGTTGTTAGCCAGTGCTCTTCGATATTCTGTCTTTCTTTCCTCTGTCTTTCTCTGTCTTTCATTGTGCTGCTCTTTCAAAATGAGTACTCTGAACCAGCTAACCAAAACTCAAGTACTTCTCGCACCACAAGACTTTTTGAATTGGTTCTTTACGTTCGCGAAAGCGCGATTCGAGGAGGTGAAATTGAAACCTTTGCCTCTCATAGCGTGTAGACTTCACAAGCCAAATTTCTTCCCTGCCCTCTTCGGTATTACAGCGAGTGAGATCTGGAATATCACATGACGAAGAGGCATAACACGTTATGCGCATGCATGGTTACATTCGCATGACTTGCCCAACCCAGGTCATCTCGCAAGCGGTGCTGCGTTGTTTCGGTGTTATCTGTTATGTACTACCTGTTTCTGTGGGATACATGCCTCTGTACACGCACGGTAGGAAAGGCTGGCAAGATACTTGTATCTTTGTCTCGATACACTGCGTCGCACTTCTTGAACTGCGCTAAGGGCGATGAACAAAAACACGCCAAGTGTTTTCAGGGATGGCGCCGACACGACGCGAAAACGGCGAGAGTACTAGTGCAAGCGCAATGAAGGGAGCATAGTCTCGCCTACTACTCGGTTAAAAGTGAAAAAAAAAATACTTGCACTGGTTCTGTTTTTATATTCAGGTATTCCTTACAACTTTCGTTCTTCTATTGAAGTAACAGATTGCACATATCACACTGCACATATCACAACTTCACGCACAGTCACGTACTACTGTGACGCGTTTTGGACCATTCAATGTATCTTATCTCCACAATGCGCGCACCCGTGAGATAAAAGGTAAGTGGCGTTCCGTCCGACATTTCACCTCTTTTGGGGCTCATATATTTGCGAAACTTGGCATAAGAGATGGTGAGCACGGATTGATTTAAGTGGGGTTTAATATCCCAAAATCACCATATGATTATGAGAGATGCCGTAGTGGAGGGCTCCGGAAATTTCGACCACCTGGGGTTCTTTAACGTGCACCCAAATCTGATTACACGGGCCTACAACGTTTTCGCCTCCGTCGGAAATGCAGCCGCCACAGCTGGGACTAGATCCCGCGACCTGCGGGTCAGCAGCCGAATACCTTAGCCAATAGACCACCGCGGTGGGGCTGCGGTGGTGTAGGGCAGGCATTACAATTATCAGCTCAAGATGCTAAAACTTGGTGAGGGGGGCCCGTTAAGGTGTTAACAGACAGAGGATAATGGGCCCTGCGCGATTGGATCTGCCTAATACGAAGATAAAGACGTTGCTTGCCTTTTAGTGGTCTGGAAGTTGCTCCTGTGCTACCCTTCTCAGTCATGCAGAATAGAAAGGTATGACGAATGTGTTTATTCGACGGTTGACACTTAACTTGCCATGCTGAAAAATAAAAGGAGATACTTAGTTTTGCAAAGCATAAAGGGAAGAGGACAATTACATGGATATGAACCATTGGCGCATTTCTTTCTTAATAAACGAATGTTTTTTCTTTTTTGTTTTTGTTCTTGTCGTAGACGCAGGTTGCGCACGTCTTCGAATCTTCAAAATTTTTGGTAAACTTTATTGTGCCTTTGTTACACAAATATTGGGGGCCTAAAACTATGTTTTGCCAGTCAATTTTTCACGACAAAAACCTAGTTTTTTAGTGCCTCCAAGTTTGCCCTCTACTTATAAGACTCCTGATTAGAGACAGCATGAAGGCACGAAGGTCACTTTCTCGCTGCCGTGGCTGCGTTTACAACAGGAGTATGTTGCTCACACATGAAAAGTAATGATTGTGAGTTTTGTTCGCGCTTGCCCTGCGTACACTTGACCGTTCATTTCGTGCGCCTTTCTTTCTCTTTGAACAGCGCTCCTAGTGTCAAGCGGTGACAGTTAGTCAGCGCTCTTCCTGTGTATGCTCATTGCGCGCGTGTTTTCTACTTAAGGTGCGTGCTTCAAGTTTAGAGCTGCTTGTCATTCTTCGCGTGGCTTTGCAATTTGTTGCTTGACCATTGACTTGTTCGTCTCTGTGGCGAAACAATGCAAAATGAATACTGAACTACCTCTTTGAAGACGGGCTTCACTTTCGTGTTGTACCGTTTTCTAGAAGAATAGACAAGCCATGCTTTTTCGCATACTCTTTTTATTTCAAGGATAAGTGCATGTTAATGCGATTACCAGAACAACATGATTATTGAAGGCAATGTGACCGCATTATCACGGTAAATCACTGTGATCTAGCCCTCCTATTTCATTTGAGCTGCCCGATGATGAATTTATCAGAGAAGAAAGAGTCCGTAGCTCTCATCGACTGAACGTGACCAACATTTGATACGTGGAATTTTCGAAGCGGTAGTATTTTTGGTTGTGTTGCCTTTGTGAGTAGGTTTTTTCTGTATTTTACTTTGCAATAACATGACATGACAACAACTTTATTGGAGTCCTGACAAAATTATATTGATAATTAGAGGAGCCAGAGACCCCTCCAGATGAGGTCGGTGGCTCTGCCCACGACAAGACTCGGTTCCGTCGCGATGTCGTGGACCTTCTAGACGGCCTAGATTCGAGTATAATTTCCTACTCTTCAGAGATGCATCCCATTGCCCTTCCGTGATGAGTATTAAGAGCTGCGCACAGCCACGCCATGTAGTCGAAAGAACAAGTCATGGCTGCATTTGGGGAATGAGTTTGAATGGTCGTAGTCAATCCAATTAGGAGATCGAATAGCGTGATACGAACGAATTTACTGTAGTCTTAGTGGGCGCGCCTGAGGCTTGCTTAATTTAGGGGGGGGGGGTGGATTTTTTCTGGACAGGTTGTGGTGAGAACCAATTTCGTGAAAATTACAAAAATTTTTTACGAATGTCGATTACGTTATGAGCATGGCTTTCCACGACAGCACAATACGTGAAATCACGCGCTATGCTTATCATTCAAATGCGTCTGGCGAAACAGCGCTCGAATCATTCGTCTTTTCTTTCGTGTCCCTGTGTCGGTGTTGTTTCAGCTCCACTACCTTGACATACATCCAGCTTTATCAATATACATTTGTAAATTCACCAGCGTGCTTTCCTTGGGCCTCAACACTTTAAAAACTGCTGAGGGTATCGCAAGAGTAAATAGGCCAAGTTACTCCTCAGAGTGTTTTCTCACAAAGCATCAGATAGAGTGAAATTCATTACTGTGCACTCTGTAGGAAATGAAAAAGTTAAACTGCTTTGTACTTTACCTCTTTTTCAGAGAGTGAAATGTCCATATACTATTCAGGCATGAGAGAGTAAAACGAAGCTATACTCCAGCTCTCGATTACATTTAGATGCGTCGGCACACCGCGAGTGATTAGCACTACCTAATAACCACACATATATGCAGTAAAACGCACTGCATTCGTTTATTGAGGTGTTAGGGACGATTAACAAAAAGGAACAGCGTTACCACCATGCGCCAATGAAATTCACCGCACGAAGAAGCACTTGGAACTTTTATTATTCCCTTTTTTAGTTTCGGATCTTTCTTGTGAAATACGCGAATACTATATTAATCAGTTGCTTACAATCAAAACTCAACACAAATGGCTTTAATATTTTTCCTACAGTAATATACACGTTTTTTTTTTTTTGCTACGACCATCGTACACAGGGGAACGGGGGATGCTGCCGTAAGCCTAACGTACGGTATGGCTGCAGTGAAGTATTGTGGTTTCAGTAGCAGAACGTGAACAACAACGTGAAGAAAAAGACCAAAAATATGTCCAAGGGGGTGAAAAAATTCAAATTGTTTAGTATAAACTTCATAAGCACGATGTTTCGCAGGCGGAAATGACAAACTACTACCACTTAGCGAGTATGTGCAAATACGGTTTATATAGTCGCTTGTGCTAATCTTCTTTTTTCTTCTGTAAAAACGTGTCTGATTGACGTTCTTATCTTACGAAGCACATACCAAACACATTAAACACGTTAGCTACAGTCCGGCTGGTTTTGTGAAGCGCGGAGACACTGAAATATGCAATTCTATAGGCAAGAAAATGCAGAGATATCACAAACATAACTTATGACATTCAGACTTATACGCTGATGTACAGTTTTTCAGTGTGGTGTAGTGGTTACCGTGTCGTGCTTGCAATATGCAGTGCGCCAACAGGTCGAAATCTTGAGTCTCGCTGGGTAAATTTTTTTACGTCTTCCTTTTGTTTTGTCGTAGCGCTCGTATCTTGCAATCCTTTCAATCCGCGCACGTGAAAATCCATTAAAACATTTAAAAGTCCAATTGCGGCCCAAGTTCTGCTTTTTTTTTCTTCAAGTGTACTGCTACTCTCTTTGGTGGGGTCTCGCCATTCTGCTTCGGGCAGCGTTTTGTTACTCGGTTGAAGGGAGTGCTTTGGCCTGTTCTGGGAAAATCTCTGTACTCTGTTTCACTAAGAGGTGATTTATTTTGAAAAAAGAGAGTGAAATATGGGACAAGAAAGTTTTCTCTCTGAGAGAGTGCCCAGCACACTCTTTCAGTTTATAGAGGGAAGGAACACTAATGAAGACATATTTTTTAACATTACCATAAAAGCCGATCGTCTTTGATTTGCTCAAAACAGTTCTTCAGATATATTTAATAGTAACCTTCTGTTTCTATCGTATAAAGCCTACCGCTTTGTCATTTCGCAATTGATTTACTATCAAAAGTCGTTCTCCCTTCTTTTCCTAGTGCTTTATGAGCAATTCACGTGCGCCCCCTTATCGATCGGAATTCGTTCTGGACCATGTTTCGTTTACAACTTAGCGACTATGTGAACTTTGCGTATACGTCATATGAAAGGTCATGTGATTATTTCAATGTGTATTTGGAAGCTGTTCTGAGGGGCGGTGCTGAAATATGCGTCATATGAATGGTCATGTGATCATTCGAATTGGTATCTGAAAGCTGTTCTGAGGGGTGGTGCTGGTCTTGTTACTATGCCTTTGTGGCAGTGCGCGGCGTTCAGGCAACAAAGATGAGTTCCCCGGGTGAAAATTCGACACCGCTCCACGTTCAGGACCTTGACCTCGATTATCTGGTGTCCGTCTTTGCGAGCAATGTTTTCACTTCCAACACTACGGATCCCAAAGAGGTAAGAAAGCAGACTCGGAACTTAGTAATTGGTACAACTTTCATCAGCTTTTAAAGGAACGTGGTACACAAGTATGTTGCAGTGAGTGATATACGAGCCGCTTCAAAGCTCTTCTCGTTTGCTGTTGCACCGCTGAACTTGACGGGTCCGTTTCTATTTGAGGTGATATTCCACTATCGTCGCACATCCGTATATACTATAGAGAAGTGAAACATGAATTGAAAATGAATGGCGGCACCGTATTCGAAGCGTCAGGGGTATATACGCATCGGTAAGAAAATCGAAGTCTACAACGTCCGTTTCCTCAGACAGCCGATAAAGCGCAAACTGCCTGTGGTAGTGCATTTTCATTGTATAGAGTGGCGCAATCGGTCGAACGTTTCAAAGTTGAGAACGGAGGGTGTAGATTGAGGTGCTCGCTTTCTAGTTTGTTGGTGTGTTACCTCCCATCAAATTCACGTTGCACCACAGCTCGGGTGGAGCTGTTAGTATCGTTGTCTCGTAACTAGCTGACCTCAAACAGGTAAAACTTTGACGAGCCTCTCTGTTACCAGCAAGGTGCGGTTGAAATAAAAGTACTAATGGGAGCTCTTGCGAAACTCGCTTCATTCATTCATTCATTCATTCATTCATTCACTGTTTATTCAACTCGACCTTCCACTGGCATAGCGTCAATATGGCTATCCCCTGTGAATCCGGAACCAGAAATTCACCCATGCTACAGCTAAAACACATCTGCAGTTGCAGTATGAGCCACTTGAATGGTCCTTCTCAAAATGAATACGTGAGCGTGTGCTGACACGCTGCCTTCGTTTTTACCAAGCGATCTCCTCTCGCCAGCTTTCCTAAAATTCACACGCTTTTTTTGAGCTTGCATGTCTTATTTCCTCCGCCAAAAACGCAACGGAATATTGCGCAGGCTCAGTCTAATGCTTCCAGTTTGTAATGATCAGTGACGGCATGTCACGCCTTGTGTTACACTCTATGACGTGCTTCGAAAAAATATCAGTGATTCTACATCAAGGCGCCTATTTTATTTAGGTATGTTATCATTGCAACCTCCATTAATATTGACCTCGCAATAATGGGAACATGGCAGAAATACTGTGAACCGAACGAGAAATCGAGAGAAGTGGCGATGCGTTCACAGAGCTTGTGACTTTGGTTCACTGAGGTCACTGTGTTCTTTTTCTGTGAACTAGCGCTTGCATAAGTTGTGGAGGGGATGCCAAGTGCGTACTGTATGCTATACATACTGGACGTTTGTCTGCCATGAATGGCATCGCACAATTTTGTTACTGAAGTTCTAACCAGTGGTGCATCATAAGCCATGTGTTTCACATATTCCAGCCCACGACAGGTTTTGTCGCATTTACAGTACGGTCCACTGTAAAAGGGAACACGCGAGTGCATGGCCGGCAGTCCGCGGAGCGCTAACAGCAGGCGAGATTTTAAAATGCGGTGCATGTGCATTGGTTCATCAAGCCGGTGCGTGCCTTGCGTCGTCTGCAACTTCTCTGCCCATGCACAAGGTGTGTGCTAGTTAGCCATAGCCCTACGCGCCTTTCGTTTTCGCGCTGTAAGTTATTTGATACCAACTCAACCTTCCTCTTCTCTAAATATTGGTTGAAAGGCCCCGAGCTTATAATGTTCGCAGCATCCGACTTCTGTAGCCTTATCTGTTGTCAGAAGCGACCAGTTTCAGCAAGCCGTATGTGAAAAATATCACGTCCCTTACGTTTGCTTGAAATCCTACGACCCGCAGGCAGATTCACAGCTAGATAAATTGCACTGAAATATTACGAAAGCACACTCCAACGCTTTCCTGCGCACAGGCTGGGAAGTAGCACACGAAACTGGGCGCGCCCCTTGTGATTCTGTGCGCATGTGCCGCATTTACAAATCTCACCCCGAGTTCACGTGTTTCCTCAAACAGCGTACCGTATTGTAGGTGACTATTCTCAATAATATAAGGCGTAGCATTTTTTGTATAATACATGGAGATGGAAGCACATTTTCGCTGCTGAAATTACATTCAAAAGATTAATAAGCGAACCTTAAATTTTTAGTGTTGACTGTAGATCAATTGTTTAACTGCCAAAGTTTAATGACGCCTAAATTACGAATTTTCATTTATAGATACCCAAAGTGTCTCGAGTAATTTAAAATAACGATAAACTTTCGAGGCTTGTTCGAGCGCGTCGGGATCGCAAAAACGGCGGCCCCTGATAAAATGTTAGATTGAAGTCCTACGACAAGTGGCAAAATTTAGATGAAGGCTTATTGCGGCAGTATTCAGGGAAGGAAAACGGCAAATCACCGCGTGCACCACGAAATCCTTTGTGTGTGACGTCTAGTACTTCCATTTGGCTCGAGCAATGTGCATACAGACCACCACTTTGACATTTTCTTTCAATGCAGTACAGCGTAAAACGTGGGGAGAGCCTTTGCGGCACTCTTTCTTCTTGAAGAGAGTGTGACAATATTTGAGGTTTAAAAGCATAAAATAGGCATATGACTGAGGGGCACCGTCGTAGTCATAGTCTCCGTGAACTTAACTCATCTGGCGGTTTTTTACATGCACCTACATCACACACGGGCCTCTACCATTTCGCCTCCATCAAAAGACGACCGCCGTGGCCGAGACCGCACGCATCACCTTCAGATTTTGAGTTCTCCAAAACCACTACACTAACCATTAACGCGGTAGACATGCGATAAGCGTAAGAAAGCCAAGCAGAAATCTATTTTCATAATATATAATATATATAATATATATATATTATATATATATATATATATATATATATATATATATATATATATATTAATATATATATATATATATATATATATATAGGAGTGAAGTGCATACCTAAGGGCTCGTTTTTTCCGTGTTTTTACACCATATTATTGAGATCTAACGGACAATGTTGCCAAGGAAAGTATAGGGAAGGTATTAGACCAAATTGTAATGTTATATATATATATATATATATATATATATATATATATATATATATATATATATATAATATATACCGTGAAGGTATGGGATATGGCACAACGGGAGCGTTGTCAACAAGGATAAATATATTTATTTCCCAACAGTTTAGGGAGGGGTCCTCCCTTCATCAGGCGATGAGTTATAATGACATGAGCTTCCAAACTTCGTTGCTGCCGCATCCCTCTCGCCTTGAAAGATGTTTGCGAGAGTGAGAGGGAAATAAAGAAAGAAAAAAAAAAAAAAAAACAAAAAAGGGGGAGAAAAAGACGAAAACAAAAAGAAAGAAAAGAAAGTAAAAAAAGAGGAAGAACCACTGTCAACACTGAGAACGAAACCAACTGTCCGTGTACGTCCACATACGGTTCTTATCACGTGCTGTTCTGTTCTCGACGTGTGTCGGGCCACCCAAGATTGTCGCCGCGGTGCCGGGAGAGTCCGTGACGGCGTGCGTAAAGAAAGGGTTTCCCCTTGATGGGTCGGTCAGCGTGCGGCGTGCGTAAAGGAAGGGTTTTCCGTTAATGGGTCGGTCGGCTCTTTACCTTTAATCTTCGTCCGTTTCCCTTCAATGGTCATCAAGTGGTAGGCGAACGTAAACACTTTGTATGTGCATGTGAAAAAAAGAAAAAAAGAAGAAAAAAAAGGAAAAAAAAACAAAAAACAAAGGACAGTGTACCCGTACGAGTCAGTCAGAAAAAAGCATGGTCTCCAGCTATCAATCTTTGTCACCAATTTCCTCCTGGCTTACTTCTCGGAGGCAGTTCAGTTTTCCGGGGTCCTCGTTGATGCCGGCTACTAATGTTCGAAATTTGAAAATAAAATATGCCTCACGCTGTTCGCGCTCGCGTCTGTTTGAGAAACCGGACTGCAAAAGAGTTACGTTGATATTTTCAAAACTGTGGTTTGGCAGGCGCAGATGTCTAGATAATGGTATCTTCGGCAGTGAAGTGGCGTGGTACCGGTGATTATTGAACCGCAGCCGAAATGACATGTCTGTTTGGCCGATATATTCTTGTCCGCAGATGTTGCAATGTAGCATGTATATTACGTTACTCGAGTCACAATTAAGGCTTTCAGTTATGCAGAATTTGAAATCCGAGAAGTTCGCTTTAGATTCCCGTGTTGTGACCATCTGTAGGCATACCTTGCATCAAGCTTTTCCGCAGGGATGGCACCCTGATTGAAATTTGGAGGTGTTTGTTTTTGCTCTGACAAGAATGTCCTTCAGATTTTCATCCCGGCGGTACACCACGTGAGGTGGCTTTGCGAAAATAGAAGTTAGTCGTTTGCTTTGCCTGATTATGTTGAAATGGCGTGAAAGTATGTTGTTGATTCGTGGCGCTGATGAGGAGTAAGTTAGTACAAGGTTCGTTTGGGAAGTCGTTTTAGATACTCTGTTTGGTCCCTTAACAGCACGTGTTAAGAACCGTATGTGGACGTACACGGACAGTTGGTTTCGTTTTCAGTGTTGACAGTGGTTCTTCCTCTTTTTTACTTTCTTTCTTTTCTTTCTTTTTCTTTTTCTTTTTTCCCCTCTTTGTTTTTTGTTTTTTTCCTTTTTTAGTTCCCTCTAACTCTCGCAAACATCTTTCAAGGCGAGAGGGACGCGGCAGCAACGAAGTTTGGATGTTCATGTCAGTATAACTCATCCCCTGATGAAGGGAGGACCCCTCCCGAAACTGTTGGGAAATAAATATATTTATCCTTGTTGACAACGCTCCCGTTGTGCCATATCCCATACCTTCACGAAGACTACAGGCCCATTGAATTATTACTCCCAATATATATATATATATTTATATATATAGATATGACTGACACTCCCACTTCTAAATTCACATGTAAACACAAAAAAATGAATGGAGGGAAGGCCGCTATGATACCTCAGTGGTTAAAGCATCGAACGCGTTATTCGAAGGTCGTACGTTCGATTCCTGCTCACGGCTGGTTATTTTTTACCCACTTTTCTTTCTTCCTATTAGATCTCATTAATATG